AAAGCTATATTATTATAAGGAACTTATAGTACTGTTTCTAAATTTTTGTTAATTTTGTTTGTTTTGATGATCTATGACTTTATCTCTAATACTAAACCTTGGCTATTTTTGTTTTTAATAACTAACTAATTATTAGCAAGACCAGAAGGCATAATATATCTATTAGTCTTACTATTGGCACTGCTTATTCTAGTCTTAGTTCTCTAATCTTTATTCTACTTTTCTTTTTACTACCACATTATATACTAGATATTATCTTAATTCAAATACAATTATTAACAAATGTATTATCTTTATTTTTACTAACTTGGCTACTAAGCTATTTTGCTACATCAATCTTGACAAAACTTTCAACCTTCATGCAAACTTTCTTGATATTGCATACTCTGTTGCTCTTCAGCATTCCTTACATATTCCATCTCAACTTTTATCTACAATTAATCTACAACAACTACCTCCTATTTTTAAAACATGCCAACTTGTTAATAACCTTTAGACTATTGTTAACTCAAATTATAATCTATTATCTATTTCATTTTACACTGATAGTTCTGTTATTAATCTTGGTACTTTGCAGTACTCTATGAGCTTAGGTTGGATTCAAGTTGATAACTTTACAACTATTAACTCATTTCAGGCACAAGTTAAACTATGGCCATGCTTCTTTAAAGCTGAAATTCTTGCTATACTCTTAGCAATTATTGCTGCTTTTAGTCATTACTCTGTTCACATATTCACTAACTCACAATCAGTAATCTTCAAATATTATAACATCTGCCAATCAGCATCTACTCTTTTTTATACTCATATTTCATATTTCTCTATCTGGCAAACACTTATTAACTTTATTATGTCTTATGAAATTCAACTTATTTTTTACAAAGTTATTGCATACCAAGATGATTCATTTAACAACCTTGCTAATCAACTTGTTCATAATTACCAAATAGTATATTATTTATTATTCTTAACTAACAATTCTTATAACCTCAACTATACTTTTTTTATTAATGAATTTCTTATTAAAATTTCTATCTGGTATTCTATTTGAACTATATGCCAAGCCTATATTATAACACTTGGACATCTTAATATTATTTCTAACAATAGTCTATCATTGCATCTGATATTTACTGAAAAGCTACATGGCTTTACATCAACAATAATCAAAAAATTTTTAATTTTGCTCACAGCTTTTATTTATCTATTCTGAAAACTTTTTAAATTAAAATCCTTACAAATGAACTTCCTGTTCCTTATACTTTTTATAAACATAATTCTTCATATTCTTCCTTCTGTCATCAATGCAATTAAATCAGCTTTTTACTCTACTAGGTTATCTGTCCATCAATTCAAACAATTTATCACTTAATCTCTAATTCTTTTAATAGTATTTTAAATACAACTAATCTTAATATACCTGCCAATCTTGTTTCTGATTTACATATTAAAATTCTCACACTTAACAGTTTCAAACTGCATAACTCTTCACATATACTTTTTCTTATTTTTATCCTATCTGGTTTAGTTCTTATCAATCTTATTTCTATTATTCACAATGCTTCTATTTCTTACTATACTGCTATTACTCTTTCTATTAAATTTTTTCTTTATTTAAACTAACAATATATAAAGAAATATTAATTTTATACTGTATTTATGTTCTGCATAGTCTCAAACTACACTTTTTACTAACTCAACTCATAATCATTTTTCTAGTCTATCTTCACCTTCTATTTCAATATCACAAATTATTACTAAAATTGATCTTTGAACTATTCAATAGATTAAATACTATACCTTTTTCTTTTATATTATTATTCAAACACAAATTTAGATAAGCCTTGGCCACTCTTGTAGGTTTAGGTTACAGATTATATGTTTAAGTCTTTATTCTTTATATGTAATTTAAAAGCAAGCTTTTTTTTGTAAAAACTTTAATTGAATTTTAATAAAGTTAAAAGTATAGACTCATCATTAATATTTTTAAAAAAAAAATCTAAGGTAGACTATTATATAAAAAACAGTTTCTTGTCTTTTTCTTTCTTTTTTTGAACCAATTAAATAGTTGATATTACTAAATTTTTTTGGCTAAAAAATTTTTGTTATTTTTAATCTTTTTTTTTTTTTTAAAAAAACAATATATATGAAAGAAGTGCTTAAAAAATTTGAATAGTAGCTTGATGTCAATTAGTTTTCTCTACTATGCAATGATAACAAAGCTATTATTCAACACCTTTATAAAGCTGAAATCTATCCAGAACAACTTTATGAAGCTGTAATAGATCTACAATATCAACTTGTTCTAATTAATATTATTGATCTAATTATAGGTTCAGGTTATCTTCTCTATCATATAAAAAAAGTTATAGATGTATCTCATATTATTCTAGATATTCTAATAGAAGTAATAGAAATAACTTAGATAATATTAAGACTATTTTTTTTTAATAAAGCTATTGTATACCAATAAGTCTAACAATATTTCTATAAATACAGAAATCAGTTTTTGAAGAAAGCTGTTCATTCTTTAATAAGCAAAGTAAATAAGCTAAAAAAAACATCTTGTCTCAACTTTAAATATACAAAAACAAGATAGTAATGTTTTTAATTATCAAAGCTATAAAGGCATTAAAGCAACTAGTACTACTGAACTATTTTTTTCATTAAAGGACTTTGAATTAACAGATCTGAAAAATGAAACAAATAATAATTGCCTTATTATTATCACCAAAAATAATTGTAGTAATAATCACCACTTCTTCACTATCTTCAACCATAATAGTAGTAATAATAAAACTATTACTACAAATAATAATAGTAGTAATACCACTATCAATAATATCAATAATACTGATAGCAATAATGACATTTATAATAGTGCCAATAGAACAAATAACACTAGCAATAATTGTACTACTATATCTGATAGTGCATTTGCAAGTGCCAAAAATACTAAAGCCAAATAAACAGCAAGTTGATAATAATAATAATAATAATAATCAAATACTATTAGTATTATCTGAACCAACTACCAGCTATTCAAAAAGCTCATATGAAATCTTTGAAGACATGGATGAAGAACAATATAAGTTGTTTTATATATGTATAATAATATTGGCATATAAAAATCAAATTTGTAATTATTAAATTTTTTAGAATATTTGTAGCATATTTATTTAAGTAATAATAAAGCATTAGATTAATAAATATTTTATTTTAATGTGCAGGATAAAGTGCTTCAAATAGGTTATGGTCTTGATAAAAGATTGGGATGGATTATACAAAAATTGAAGTAAAATTACTTACCATATGGCTACAAAAACTATGCCAGTAATCAAAAAGGCACTTAAAGGCAAATTTAGGTTTAAATTAAATAAATTAAAATATATTCTAAAAAGCCTTCATTGACATTATTAGAAAAAATAAAAAATTAATAATAATCTTGATAGATTAGTGAAAAATAAAAAAAGATTAGATGTAAACATAGACATCAATCAGTATATATAGTTTTATATATTATATGAAATAAATTATAAGTATTTGCAAGTTATTATATTTGTATTATACTAAATTCTATACTGCTTTACTATAAGCATCATAATACAAATATAATATAGTTAATATAACTTGTACTAACTACTATGAAATCTTCCTACTATAAACATTTTACTTCTTACCGAAATCATTAACTCCCAAAATTCTAACTTGAAACTTTATTCAATTAGAAATTAAATTCTCCTTAATAACTTGCCAACAATGTCAAATTTAAATATTCGCTACCCTCAACTTTATTTAACTCCAAATTGCTCTTATTGTAACCAATATGAAAGAATCGAACATTTACTCAAATGCTCACTCCATACTTACAATTCACAAAACATTCTTATCAATGAAACCATCAACATCTTAAACTCTCTAAACTTCTCAGAAGCTACACCAAACACTATA